TAGTGCGTACCTAGAACTGTTATCGGACCACTTGTATAGTATTCTGGAGCATAAAAGGAATCAATCTAGGCGGCTTATGTTCTCTCATCAGAAGATAGTTAAAAACAACTTCTTTAAAAGGTTACGAAGCGTGCACAAAAGTAAAAATGCATATTTTTTATCAGCACATCGTCTGCAATTGGAAAATTTAGCCAAATACGTGTGTGCTCCATTGTACAATATACTATTGAACTATGATCCCCTTGCACCACTTTTTTATTTGTTATTTAAAAAGTTACAGAGCGAAAAATAAGTAAGAAAAATTACAAAAAAAAACAATATATGTATATGTACAATACCCGAAGGCATTGTTTGTCATCATATCTGCAGCGTTCGTTCGATTTTCGAAAATGAGGTGTCAAATGATGCTTCTGATGGGCTATATATGCTAGGACTTACCCTTGATTTTTGGCAATTTATGTTCGAAAATTCTTTTATATGAACCAAAAGCGGAGCGCCCTCACCAAAAAAATGCCAAAAGTCATTGGTAAGTGAAGATACATACTTAAAATTTGCACTTTGCTTTACTAAAATTTAATGGGCTATAAAACTGAATCCCAAAATTTTGTCTAAAGACGTTGATCAAAAAGTTAGAAATTTTGCACAATTTTCATAATTTTTGCACAAAGTCAGAAATTGGAATTTATATCGAGACATGAAAACTTTAGTAGGCCATGAAATAAAAATACGAGCTAACTTTCGCAAATCCATTGAGTGTTTTACTACTGGATGGGTATAGTTTCAGAAAATGTCAACAAAGTCCGGGCTGGTTTGGGCTGTCCTACAGTGTAATTTGGGTTTAACTTTTTAAACAGCACCTCCAAGCACCTCAAAAAATATTGTAATTGTTGCATAGTATTTTAAGCACAACACTTCTTTAACTAAATTCGACTTTTCAAACAAGTGGTACGGCACCCTGAACTCGTGCATATGGAAACAGTGCATACGAAATAATGCATATGAAAACAAGTAAGAAAGTCTAAGTTCGGGTGGAGCCGAACATTAAATACCCGGCGCAAGTATTAAATATATGTATGTTTTTTTTTCACCTTTCCGAAACCTACCGCTAGATGGTAAGCCGGGGTGTATCAATTTTGAGTAAATTAGCGTCCTTAAATTTCGAAATATTGCATTTTCAAGCATTTCTGAAATTTACAGTTATATGAAAAGTGGCCGTAATTTTAGTTCGATTTCAATAATTTTCAACGTTTTGCTTTTACGTGGCAAGCACAATAAAAATACCGAGTTTGGTACAAATTGGTACAACGGTTACCGATATACATATATGTGATCATAAGTGGGCGGTGCCACGCCCATTTTCCAAAATTTTAACGTAAACGTATTTTTTGGTAAAGAATTGTTGCAAGCGTAAATTTTGAATAAATTAGCTTTAATATTTACTGATTTATCGAAGATTTCGTATTTCTCTAAATAAACCTTATATGGACTGTGGGCGTGGTCATTGTCCGATTTTAAAAATTTTCGGCCGTTTAGTATGCTGTACCAAGCCCAAGAACTGTGCCAAGTTTGGATGACATCGGTGCAGCGGTTGCCAAGATATACATATGTAACCATAAGTAGGCGTGGCTACGCCCATTTACCAAAAATTTATAATATTCTTATTTTTCGTCTAAAAGTTGTTGCAAATATCAATTTTGAGTGAATAATCTTCAGTAGTTACTAAAATATCGCAGTTTTCGTATTTCTGGAAATTACCGTTATATGGGAAGTGGGCGTGGTTACAGTCCGATTTCGCCCACTTTCAATACCAACCTACCTTGGATTAACAGGAATCTACATACCAAATTTCGTTGAGATATCTCAATTTTTCCTCGAGTTATCGTGTACACGGACGGACGGACAGACAGACATGGCTTAATCGATTTTTCTATTCATTCTGAGCATTTATGTATACATTTATCTATATCTATCTCGATTCGTTTTGGCTGTTACAAACAACCGTTATGTGAACAAAATTAATATACCCTTTTGCACAAGTGCGCTCGGGTATAAAAACCGAAATAATGCATATTAGAAAAACCGAAATTATGCATATGCACTCTTTCGTTTGAAAACCGAAATAACGCATATGAGAAAAACGAAGTAATGCATAAATACGTGCACAGTTTCGACTTAAAACCGAAATAATGCATATGACAAAAACCGAAATAGTGCATACATGAAAACGAACTTCTTTCTGCGTAGGCGGCCTTCTAAGTAGAATTCTCCTTTCTGTGTTGCCGGAAAAGGGGGCCGGAAGTATTTTTGCGCAGAACTTCTTTCTGCGTAGGCGGCCTTCGGCCGCACTTAGGAATTCTAACCCTTACTAAGTAGAATTCTCCTTTCTGTGTTGCCGGAAAAGGGGAGCGGAGGTATTTTTGCGCAGAACTTCTTTCTGCGTAGGCGGCCTTCGGACGCGCTTAGGGATTATAACCCTTTCGAAGTAGAACTCTCCTTTCTGTATTACCGGAAAAGAAGGGCGGAAGTATTTTTGCGCAGAACTTCTCTCTGCTTAGGCGGCCTTCGGCCGCACTTAGGGACTAAAACCCTTACTAAGTAGAAGCAAATAATTCATATTAGAAAAAAAACGAAATTATCCATATTGTACATATGGCATACTTGCACAATTTCGGTTCAAAACCGAAATAATGCATGTGGAAACCCGAAGTAATGCATACATGCACAGTTTCGTTTGAAAACCGAATTAATGCATATGAAAACCCGTAGTAATGCATACATGCACAGTTTCGGTGGAAAACCGAAATAATGCATATGGCAAACACCGAAATAATGCATATGGCAAACACCGAAATAAAGCATACATGCACAGTTTCGGTTGAAATCGAAATAATTTCTAAATGCACAGTTTCCATTAGCGCAATTTCGGTGCCCGAAGTGGCACCCCTCTTAAATGTAATTAAAAAATAAAGTTTATTCAAAATCATTTCGATATATACCCATATTGGGGTAATTTATTTAACTTATTAAATAATTTGATTTTGATTTTCTTACATACAATCATATGGCACAAAGCTAAAACCATATTACACATCTACAGTGCAAGCCCTTTCATTTGACACCTACCTCCTTTTTAAGAACCGAACGAACGATATAGATTTTATGACATGGTGTTAAATATTTAACGCAAATATCTTCGAACTCGATTAAGAAGTTAGTCCAAAAAATTCGAATTAAATCGAATTTGCACCACCAAATTTCGAATCGAATAATCGAATGGTTGGGCAATGTTCGAAATTCGGAAAAATCGAATTTCAACCCCCCACTACCCATCCCTACTAGATTGGCCATTGTAATTTTTCAATCATTGAAATAAACTGAATAAAAAAACCTTATCCTGTAACTAAATTGTTTTGCGAGCATATTTGCAAACATATTTACCAATGTTTTAGTGCTTGTCTAAGCGCTTAAAATGGATTTTTTCTGGCTTATTTTCTTCGCCCATGGTAATAATATATTTCGCTATTAAATAATATCTGAAAAGTCCTATGCAAATCGATGCATCGATGTATGCTCTTCGATATATCGATGTACATTTCGATGCATCGAATCAAAGAAGTACATTGATTTATCTTTGCCACTGACATCCCTAGTGAGAACTGATGTCACAACAAAAAAACAAGTTTTGAATCGTGGGTCACAAAATATTGTAACAATGAAGCACTGTGGGACGATACGGGAGCGGGACGACATGTAAGCATGCATAATAGTTCGATTTTCACCACATTTGCAAAACTCTTTTACAATGTTATTAAATTGAGAAAGAAAAATTGTAAGTTGTAGGCAAAAGCCATTCAATTATTCAATTTTGTTTTTATTAAACTGGTCCCCAGTTTCACCAACCAATTTTAAAACTTATCAGACTTACGTCCGGTTGCATCAATCAATTTTAAATTTTAACAGTCTGATAAATTTTACAATTGATTGGTGCCACCCGTCATGAAAGTTATTTTCGAGGTAACTAACAACACTCGACAAATACGCGTTAGCCATCTTTTTAAATAAATTATAGTCCATCATATTACTACAACTGGTAAGTAACGACTCGGCGATATGCCCATTAAATGATTGCTTTTTTTTGTTGTATTAATTTCTTGCGCTTATCAAATATTATCTAAAACAAGTCAACTATAAATAAGTTATTTTCTTCTTACTTTTTTACAGTACAGTTTAAGGAAGTTCAAACCTTATATAAAAACCTTGAGAAAATCCTGAAGTATTATATGTGACCTGGTCTACGGAAAGGGGGCTTAGGTGTCAAAAAATCAATTTTCACTTTTTGGTTGATTCGGATGCTTTTTCACGTGGTGAAAAGCAGAAAATCCTAACTTGCTTAGAAGTACAAAAACGTCACTTTTTCAGTGTTACTTTTTTAAATGTTCCACACTAGCAACTTACACGATGAACTATAATAATATTCCGACCAACAACAACACTTACTGGACCAACAACAACACTTACTGGACGTCCGGCGCGGAGAACAATTAACGAGATAATGAGAAACTGACGAAACGAGTAGCTTACTTTTAACAGCTTTTTCACAGAAAACTAGTTTTCGCACGTAAGCTCCCTTTTCGTAGACCAGGTCACATATTTGTGTAAAATAATATTACACAATCAAAATACATGGGGAAAATTACCGAACACCGAGTTACCAAGTTACAAACTTGCATGGTCAGAATTGCAAATTCAGTACAAATCAGTAAAAATTTTGAAAAATTAGTACATTAGCGTGCTGATTAAGGAAATGAATAAAATTAGTACGAGAGTTAAAAAGTCAGCAGTGTACTTATAAAATCAGTACGTCTTGCAACGGTATGCGGGTATAAATGCTTTAGTTACGATCATTATGAAGCTAAGTTGATATCGCGCAATTACTATCTTTCCTTAATTTAAAGAATTTGCTATGCATATGTAAATACTATGTATGTATATATACGTATTTAAATTCTACCTATCATTAAAAGAGCAGCCGTTAGGTGCGAACTGGGAGGTCCTGCGAGGCCTGTAGCACCTAATGCTGCGCCTCCCAAAGCGCAAGCTACGCCGCCCAGAGCAACGACAGCAATCAAGGCTCGAAGCGGGGGTCCGGCAAACCATTGGCCGCAACAGCCTTTCCGAGAACGTTCTGAGGGTGATCTGAAAATATAAAGTGAAAAAATATGTTAATATAAAAAATTAAAGCGTATAAAAAAAGGTTAAATAAACAATTGTGTATTGTTTTTGCAAGTCTACTGAAGAGAACCAGAGTTTTCGAAAAATATTGATTTTCAAGAATTCTATACCATTTTAAGAAAAGTTTTTTCCCATATAAAATATAAGGAAAACTTTGAGCGA